AGGGACATACAAAGCAACAAAGAGATAATCTTATAAATGCGTTAGAAACACATGCATGAAAGAAAAAACATTAAAATACATATCTAAGGGTTCATTGAAAACTATATCTTGATGACAGCAGGATGGGCCTCTTCTTTTTTCCAGAGCATACTTTTCCTTCTAATGATTAACTTTGATAACATCCTTTAACGTGCTTCCATTAAGCAATGTTCTCCTGTAGGTAATATCTGGGCCACTCTTCAGGCTTTGATAACGGTATATAAAGTATTTCCCCTCCCACATCAAATTACGATGTGTCAGTGCCATGGTGTCTGGTACTGTAAAAAGGAAAGGAAGGTTTAGGGGAGGAAAATTCAATTATTGGATATATCGATGCAAGTTGGAAAATGAGAAGTAACTTTCTGCTTTTAAATCACAAGTCCTTCTGTGAGATTTCTAGAGTAATTTTCGCTGTGGCTTGAGAATCCATACAAGTCATCATGATCAGTAAAATTTCTCTGTCTACATAACCAGTTGTGGAAAGAATATGGCTAGGACGTACAGACAAGGACAGCAGACATAGAAATGAGAAAGGACACAAAACCTAGACAAAGGAGGAAATTTATAGCACATCTTAGAGCTCATGTTCACCAGCATCGTAAATCACAATTAAAAAGAGTACCTATGGAGGTTGCTCTGCCCTTCAGGTAATCAAACTGTCCTAGGATGGTAAGGACATCAGCTCTGTCTGAATGACTGATGACACCTGCCACCAACCTCATAGTTCCCATAGCACTTGGAACTACAGTAGGTTTGGGAATGGAGAAGGTTGTTGCTGTAGAGCAAGGATGGAAATACCCATCAATTATCCAGACTGACTCACTCTGAACTAGGCAAGGCAAGTGTCCCCAGGCACTGGGGAAGCTGTGAGAATGGTTCCTCCCCAGGGACTCCCCTAGAAGGCTCCCCAGTTATTTCTGTCTGAGAGTTTGCTTCCCTTCTTAGCAGCTTTAGCTAGGACCCCTAAGCTCATCTCTAAAGCGCTTTTCTTTTGATCTTCGACCTATTGGAAGATAGAGAGAAAATAGTCTAAGATCAATGACTAATGCACTTGATCTCCATCTCTTTCTCCTTCCCTCCCACTGTTAACACACCTGCAGGTCTGTGCCTGTACTGAGGCTTTCTGTTTTGTGAAGCTGAATTATGTAATCGCTGCCCCACCCTGGACACCTCCCCACTTCCATGCCAGGCTTGTTTTCCCAGTCTAGCTACGTGATTTAGCTGGGGAATGTTTGATGGGAAAAGCAAGGAAGTTCAGCTGCTCTATAGTTTGTTTCTCTCTTATCTTGGTAAATTCAGTGCATAATGAGGGGTGGGGGCAGGGAAGGAAGGGTGGGAAAGAGAAAAAAGGGTAGGGTGTTCCTGTTGCTCTTTCGGTGGCCATAAATTTCTACGATACAAACCTCCCTTAAGACTTCCCATTTAGGAGCTGGGAAGGTGGCTCAGTGGTAGAGCGCTTGCCTTACATGCATGAGGCCCTGGGTTCGATTCCTTAGCACCACATAAGCAAAAAGAAAAAAGCCAGAAGTGGCGCTGTGGCTCAAGTGGCAGAGCGCTAGCCTTGAGCTGAAGAGCTAAGGCACAGCGCCCAAGCCCAGAGTTGGTCAGGCCCCACCACTGGACCCCCCCCCCCCGCGCCAAAAAAAGACTTCCCATTCACCTTTCCTCTATCTCCCTCTCTCCTTCCTTCTTTATCTCCTTCAGTCTTTTCTCAAATATAACACCATTGTCAGACTGTCATTTTAAGGATAGAGAAAAGACGACTTTCTCCACCATTCCCTTACTCTTTCTTCCCAGCGTGTTTTTGGCTGGTCTATGAAAGCTTCATAATGGCTTTTGTCTCAAGTTGTCCTAAAAAACATAGCTAGTTGCAGTTTGTTCTATAGATCCTCAGATATTTGATGGCAAGAATGGGTCATCATGATCTGACGCATGGCAATATGTACCAGCTTCCTCTGGAAAGTTCCAAAATCATTGGGAGGCAAAAAAGGAGGAAAAGACCCTTTCATTCTTGAGTTTAATTTAGCTTTTTATTTTCACAAATATGTATTGAATTCCCCAGATCAGAGGGTAATTGGGGAGGAGTTAAATAACCACATAAGTTCGAGTTTAGAACTAAAACAAGGGTTTAAAACAGTGTCTTCTCAGTATTTTTCATATCACTCAAATTAAATATTAGACATTGCTCACTAGGAATCAGATTTGAAGGAATTTAAAAGCATTTGATAAAAATAAAAATAATACTAACTAAATCAGAAATAATTATCAGACAGTTGTGTTTTTGTTTTGCTTTTGTTTTTGTTTTTGCTGGTACTAGTGTTTGAACTCAGGGCTTCATTGTTGCTCTGCTGGTACTCTACCACTTGAGCCACACCTTTAATCATGCCTGTTTTTTTTTTTTTTGCTCATTATTTGGTGATGGAGTTTCACAGACTATTCTGTGCAGGCTGGCTTTGAACTGTGATACTCTGGATCTCAGTCTCTTGAGTAGCTAGGATCACCGGCATGGCCCACCCCACCTGACTGAGGCAGTTTTTTTCACAGCTATAGTCTTATCTTACTGTGGCATCAGTTTTCATTCAAACCTCCATAAGCACTGTGCTGTTGAGCAGACTTGTGTGCTATTGGGACAGTAGAATCTTCTGACCTTCTGACCTGTGAGACAGTCACCACGTGTCTCGGCCACCACACAGTTGTTGCTCCTCCATATTATCACCACTTACTGCCACATTGTGCATCTCATGATACAGTCAGTGTACTGTGACCATCTGACATTCTCACCATGACAGCACATACATTCAGTACTAGAACTAGACAGAATCTTCTCCAGAAGGCCAGCTGCAGGATATCTTTTCCCTGTCAGAACCTCTGATCTCTGTTGCAAGCATTCATCTCTGTCATCAAAGTACAAAAGCAGGCATAGAAAGCTTGCTGGACCGTGCGGCCTGGCTGGTCACAATAAACTTTGTTTACAGAACATTGGCCAGTGTGGATTGGGTCCACCAGCTGTTGTTTGCTGATCCTGCTTCCAAAAAAACAAGGCATGCTGGTAGGCTTAGGGGCTGGATCAATGACAGCAGGCAGCACTGACCACGGTTAATTTGTGGGATGCTCCACATCTGATCCACAGCAGATCACTAGGAATCTTTGTTTTTGACCGACCCGCCTATCTCTTGTTAACTCCTCCCACA